ATATTCGAGCAGTTAAGACCACACAGTTTATATAGCAAAAAAATGAATTCAGCATTTTTTGCTCTAAGAAACTTGAAATACGTAATTAATAAATTCTATTCCCACCTCAAATATTTAGTGCTATCTTTTCCTAGAGTCTTGTCGACAAACAATGAGAGATTAAAATATACTAACTTCAGCCTCATTACCTTAGCCCATGTGAAATCATATCCTCCCAAATTCACTTGCCTGAAAGAGCCCTAGAGATTCGATCTAAGGAATAATGACGTTACATTGAACAAATATAGCCTCAGCACATGTCGTAACAGCCCTGACTACCTTCAGTAATTTTCCTTCCGAGTTAAAAGCCATTAACGATTCAAAAGCCTTTAAAAACAAAGTGAATTTACTCTCTGCAATGCTCAATTATTACATATTTATTCATTTTATTGATTATTCTACTTATTATAACGTATGCTGCATACTTTATATGTTCTTCTATTTAACTATTTATACTTCTAAACAATGATGCTGTTTATGCTACCTATTTTATAACTTGTTATCATCTAAGGTACTTTACTCTAATTTAGTTATGTACATTTTTCTTTTGCTCATGTAAATCTGACCTTTTCCTGTTGACATTTCATATCCGTAAAGCAATTTGAATAAAAGTTACTATTATAACGTAAATTTTTTTTTATTCCTATGTTCGACTGATTTTAAACATTTCCTGTTATTAGGCGCGTACGCGTCTCTTGGAAAATAAATATCTATCTAAGTGTCTATTTGCAATTTAGTTTTAAGTAGACCCAATCCGCTCGTTTGCTTCCCGTTTGTATATTTTCACACGACGGGACTTATATCATATTGATGATTGCTAAAATATATGAAACAACATTATATGCGGTTGGACGCGGAACAAGATGGAAAGCAAACAAAATCAGTTCATCGAAACTGAATTTGACTCTAAAGTCTAAAGTCCCGAAATTCCAGATTCTCAGTATGATCAGCGGTACTACACTTACCCCTTAGACTATTTATTTTATTTTCTTTCTTCCTAGTTATAAAATCCTTGTGAACAGACTAGCTTGTGCGTTCACGTTCACAATTCTGTACGGATACAACATTTAGCAAGGAATTTAAAAATCACTCGATTAACAGTTCTACTCTTCGGGGAGTTATAAAAATAGCATAACACGCAAATAAAAAGAAACATTTTATTTTACACAAACATACAAAGTGTATACCTACATTCATACATTTATTGTAATTGTATAATATGCGATTCGCTTACAATATACCTGTATTAGAAAAAATAAATTTTGGACTCTCAGTTCCATTCAACAATTAGCTAATGTGTCTTTAAGTATTGTACTATTTTTCTAATTAGGCCTTGATGAATTTTTGCTAAGCTCAGTTATAAATAACTTAAAGCTTTTCAAAATAGGTATGATCACTATTGTCGTTTATTAACATATTCTTTATGAAGGTAGTCGACCATATACAGGGACCTAGAAGAGACAAGCGGAATATATACTAAGTGACATATAAATCCGAACACCCAGTTTAAATGGTTTTATTTTAATAAAATTTTGTAGTATAAGTACTTAATGAAGCATAATAAGTAAATGATAAAAATTTCAAAATGATTGCACTGCTTTAAAGACCTTTAATAATGTGTGGATGCACCCTGATGTGCTACGCATTCTCCAACGCGCCTAGGCATGCTTCTGATCAGGTGGTCAATGTCCTCCTGTGGTATCTCATTCCAGGCAACCACCAACTCCTCTCGAAGTGCTTCTAGAGTCTGAGGAGGACGTTGCAAATTGAGCAATCTCCTACCCATCATATCCCACACGTGCTCAATTGGGGATAAGTCGGGAGATCTTGGTGGCCATGGTAACAATGTGACATAATTATGTTGAAAGAAGTCTATTGTGACTCTTGCAACATGTGGTCGGGCATTATCTTGTTGGAAAGTTGGATCTGCCAGGGTGTCAAGATAGGGTAAAAGATGGGGTTCTAGAACGCTGCGCGTTCATGTTACCTCTGATGAAGATTAAAGGTGACCTGGAACCATAAGCTATAGCACCCCAAACCATAACTCCAACAGTGTGATGAACATATCTTTCAACAAAAAACTATGGATTCCTCCTTTCACCACGTCGCCTTCTAACCCTGGCACGACCATCGTGCATGCCTGAACAAAATCGAGACTCGTCACTAAAGACAATACTGTTCCATTCCTGATCCCAGAGTGACCGTTGTCTGCACCACTCAAGGCGATTACGTCGGTGTTCTCGGTAAACACTTCGCATGCCAATAGGTCTTCCGTGTTCTGCAAACCATTCATTTGCAATGGACCTGGTAGTGGAGAAACGGTCCCTTAAGGCCAATAATCTTAGGCGGCGATCTTCACGGTCTGTTGTTCTACGGCGGCGTCCAGTGCTCCTTGCTCTTTACGTACGGCCATCTCGAAGCCATGCCTGATAACACCTAACCACAGTGTCTACACTTCTTTGCACTCTAACTGCAATTGCCCGAAAAGAAAGTCCAGCTTCCCGAAGTCCCACTATACGGCCCCTATCAAACTCACTAAGTTGACGAAATCGTACAGGTCTCCGTACTCTAGGCATCGTAACCGATCGTAAAGGATGTCAAGAACCAAAATCCGCCAACGTTGATTCTTTACCGCGGCTGAAATATTAATTTTTAGAGCGTTGGTGAATTAAAAAAAAAGCAGTATAAAAACCGGAGTGTCCAACTGAAAATTTTTTCACTTGTTATTTATAGTAAGATAAATACATTCACCAACTTTTATTAAAATAAAACCATTTAAACTGGGTGTTCGGATTTATATGTCACTTAGTATATTATTAACAACCTGCTGATCTCAGTGTGCACCCGTTAGACATCATAAGCCGCACATGTTCTCCCTGCCATGAAAACAGAAATATGGTAAGTTTGATTTATTTAGCTTGGGATGCAATGGTCGCAGTTTCATCGCACCTAAATAAACCCAACTGATCAAGATTCGGTTTCGCCTTTTAAAACGATTCGACTCATCACTTTTTTTTAAACCTCCAACAAAAGCGTGGTAAGTATGGAGTCAATCTACTTGACGTCATTTTTTGAATGCCATACAGTATATGGTTGGCTATCTTCAGGTGGCATACGTTATTCAATGCTGTTGCTAAGGAGAAACTTTGATTTTCAACTCAGAAACTCGGCAACCGTAAAAATAAAAATACAATTGTTTGGAGAATTTTAGTGGATTTTTCGTTATATCCTTACCATATTTTAAGAGTGCAAGCGTTACTTTCCGTTGATTTTTCTAGGCATGTGATCTTTCGTCAGCGGTATCTTCGAAAAATTTCACAAAATCCGCAATTTGAATCAACGAGTCTGTTATTGGCTCAATACATTTTTTTAAATCGACTCAGTCCTATTACTTGCCGGACAAACCCTGTATTTTTGATACCAAATATACCCTTAAAAGTTTGCTGTATTTTTACATCGCACAGTCCTTATTTAGAGATTGAATTGATCGCCAGATACCTTCAATGTTCAGAATGTATACGTTACTCTGTTGTGCGCGTCTCTATCAAGCAAATTGCTATTGTATTGCTCCATATATAATAGTAACTTGAGACGTGGTCATTGTCGTCTAGACCAGTTAGGTGAAAAATTAAAGCTTCCGCCTTTTGTTGGGTACTTCGACAAAATTTAAGCAAAGAGGACCCTTTATACTTTTTTTAATTCTCTCTAGCTTTCAATGGACTTTGCCATCATCATCAGGAGCTGCAATTATAATGATAACAGTAGCAACAAAAGTGTAAAATGAATTTAAATTGAATCAACTTACAGTAGTATGTGAGGATGTTGCTAATTGTTGTTTTCGTATAGGATGAGGGAAACGTCCAGTAACATGGTGAGAGCTGGATACATGGTAAAATGGTTAAAATTATATAAAATATGACAAGACAAGTTAAAGACAGATTAAAAATTATTTAGAAAACATTAGATCATTACGTCGTGAAGCCACTTGATGATTGCACAAAATGGTGGTCATGGAATAATGAGTGAGATGAACCTTTGACAGAAGGCCGAAGGTTGTCAATGTCTGTGTTGAAAGATGGAACGAATTGTGGGCGTGTGCCAAAACGTTGCCAAATCACTTCAGATGATGTGATTTTCAGAATGTTATGTAAGAAATTGTTAAACCGCTCAACATCAATCACACACATGCTAGAAAGCCACTCAATAGAAGATGGGATGAAAAATCGTTTGCACAGGTTAGGTGACAAAATACTCACACTTGAGATATCTTCCAGCCACAGACAGTTGAAAAAACTTCATTCCATACTGAATTCACTCCAAAAATATAGTTTATTCAACTGCCTCTGGTCGGTTTAACAATTTCTTACATAACATTCTGAAAATCACATCATCTGAAGTGATTTGGCAACGTTTTGGCACACGCCCACAATTCGTTCCATCTTTCAACACAGACATTGACAACTTTCGGCCTTCTGTCAAAGGTTTTTTTTTTTTTTTTTTTTTTTTTTTTTGGCTTTAGGACTAGGCCATGCAGCCAGAAACTAGGTTGGATATTTTATATATTTCTATAATGACAAACACACGACGTCACAACATCCATGGCGAAGGCGAGATTCGAACTCGCGGCCCGGCCGACCGGCTGATCAGTAGCACGACACTCTGACCAACGCGGCCAACCGAGGCCCCCTCTGTCAAAGGTTCATCTCACTCATTATTCCATGACCACCATTTTGTGCAATCATCAAGTGGCTTCACGACGTAATGCTCTAATGTTTTCTAAATAATTTTTAATCTGTCTTTAACTTGTCTTGTCGTATTTTATATAATTTTAACCATTGTACCATGTATCCAGCTCTCACCATGTTACTGGACGTTTCCCTCATCCTATACGTAAACAACAATTAGCAACATCCTCACATACTACTGTAAGTTGATTCGATTTAAATTCATTTTACACTTTTGTTGCTACTGTTATCATTGTAATTGCAGCTCCTGATGATGATGGCAAAGTCCATTGAAAACTAGAGGGAATTAAAAAAAGTATAAAGAGTCCTCTTTGCTTAAATTTTGTCGAAGTACCCAACAAAAGGCGGAAACTTTAATTTTTCACCTATATAATAGTATATAAATCTTCCAGGGTAGTAAACCTCGAACATCTTTCCGATTACAGCCCACCAGAACTTCGAGTTAAAAAATTTGTTCCAGGTTACCGCCTCAACTGCTAAAGGTTTAAGGTCTGATAGAATCGTAAACCGTTGCAAAACAACTCGTCAAAAACTTAACAATAGTGTATTGAGTCCTAATGTCATCTTTTTCACTGTTTCAGTTTCTGGTACATCCCTCGTCGAGCGACCAGCTTTTCGGTTCAGACTTTGGCGGCGAGTATATAACGATCTGAAATTAATTAAGATATACAGTCTAAGTACGGTTTCTCAAAACATGAAGCTATGTGGCCTAACTTGAAGCTGAGCTCGGTTTCGCTGGCATTGCTGCAAAAAAGCGGGCGCACATCTAAATTTCAGGCTATACTACATTTGAAGCATTTAAAAAACAAACGGTGACCTACCGTTTTCTGTGCATCCGTCAAACGACAACTGCTATTGAACCCTTTTTTGAAATGAGAAATCTTTCAGACATTGCTGAATCTCAAAATAGCGACAAAATTCCTCTCAAATTGTGTGCTCCTTAAAAACGAAACAACGTATCAGGTTGCAAATAACTATTTTTTTTTTTGGGGTTCAAAAGTGATTTTTGAATAGGATACTTTGTAAATAGTTTTCTTGATCGAGGATTACTTATTTTTTCTGATCTAAGGAAAGATAAAAACTATAAAAAATCGAGATTTGCCATCATTTTTAATTTCAGTTCAACAATTTCTGTTTACGTGTAATTTCGGACAAAAAATCTCGTTTGTAGCAAAACGGGTTTTTGTGCTTTAGGTAATGCAAAGACACATAACATACAGTTCAAACAAAATGAAAAACATCAAGCTGCCGAGTCAAGAAACCATTTTTAGACTGCAAAGTCTGAACAGAAAAAGCCGGCGCTATAACGCTGAAAGCCATTTAGCATTATTTGTTCTCCATCATTTCAAAACGTGGTCACATGGCGACAAAGTGCTGTCATCAAGTCACAATCAAAGCTGCTGGTTTTGGGGTGCCATTCATGCAATGTTTCCTCTTTCAGACACAATAAGCACAACTATCGATGATCGTTATCAATTCTGACATTTTGCGACTACAGATGCAGTCCAGAATAAGTTATTACAAGCATATCTACTGAATATTTGTATCACCATACGTTGTAGCGAAATACAAACCGCTCATTGGATTTGTTTAGATCACAATTACATAAATTCTACTTTTTCAAAGTTGGCGTTTTCCTTTACACGACGTGTAGACCTTGAAAACATAAGCAATTTTTCTTAGTACCACATACACCAATGTCTTAAGGGAACCGAGATAAAGGGCTCTGCAACATCAAAAATATCTGAATACCGTCCTGTAGCCGCGACCCGCCGCGATATTCCAGACTGGTACCGGCTACTAGCTGAACCCGACGACAGAACTGGGTCAGTGTGTCAGGTCAGTATGCAACCTTCAACCGACGGTAAAGGGTCACGCGTGTAGAGGTAAACGAACCGGTATAATCGATTGCGTTTCGAAAAACAACAAGCACTAGAGACGTGGCTAGAGAAGTGCAAGTATCAAAAACTAAAGTGTGGCAAACGCTGCGTGAAGAGGGGCTTGTATCCGTTTCACATCCAACGTGTACAAGCCCTTCAACCTGACGATTTTCCAGCGGTTTTGTGAGCGGTTGTTGCATCAACATGACAATAATCCGGACATTTTGAAGCGCATATTGGTGACAGACGAATCTACGTTCACGCGTAATGGGGTGAATAACTTTCGCAACACTCATGTTTGGTCAGTAGAAAATCCGCACGCTGTCCGTCGGGCACATTTTCAACAAACATTTTCGGTGAATGTTTGGGCTGGCATGGTGAACGGTATGCTCATTGGACCATTTATTCTCCCAAATCTTTTGGACGGGATGCAATACCTAGACTTTTCACGCAACATTTTGCCTTCCTTGTTAGAAGATGTGCCATTAAGTGTAAGGCAATCAATGTGGTTTCTGCACGATGGTCATATTGCTGGTCTGCACCACCGCCGGCGTCTGCTGGTATGATTCCGGGCAGAGACGTACTTAGCCCTTCTCGTCAACTGGAGAGTGAGTACTTTTTCCTTTATTTTTTTTCACTCGGTCGCCCTCGTTTCACTACACATTACCTTTGTTATTTCAAGGGTAGTCGTTTCTGAAAAGGAAAACCCCAACTTTGCGGACACCCTGTAGATTTATCCGATAGACTGACGCATACCAAATATGTGATACGATTTCCTCGGGGTATTTCAAATTCGACATTTACCATTTGGATCGCGAAAACGGTAACAGATAAAGTCGCTTGAATGGGGAAAAGTTTAGGTAATCAACAAAATGTCGCTTGGAAAGCTCCACTTCAGGCGAGAGACGGAAAAAACCGAATATTCCCAAAATCGTTCTAATTTTTTCCTGAATTTATTCGCAGCGGGATGTTAAAATGAATTGCACATTAACATTGTCGCTTTTTCGGAACTACAATTCTGATTCGAAGAATACATTGCCAAATCTGAGTTATTCTAGATAAACCGAATTTCCTACGTAGGCCTTGATATTATTAATTTGTTTCGTATACCAGAAATTGAACTTAGTAATAGAGTTTGGAAAGCTAAGAAAATTAGTAAATATGAATGAATGAATCTTGAAATTAGAGGCATTCCGGCCACCGTAAGGAGCCAGTGCATAGGCCGCTTAAGCGGGCCCTTATGCACCTCTACAATCCTTAGATCACAAGCCTCGCCCTTTTAGCGAAGTTGAGAATCGCCTTGAGTCGCAGCTCCTTGACGACCTGAGGGTCCAAAGTAATGGACTCCAGTATAGTGTGCCTATAGTAGCCCAGAGCCTCACAGCGACACAAAACGTGCGCGGAGGTCTCTTCCTCTACCCCGCAGCGTTCACCCAAGGGATCCTCAGCCACGCCCATCACGTGCAGGTGACGCCTTAACGTGTTATGGCCAGACAGCAGTCCCACCAGCAACCTTAGGTTGGCTCTATCCACAGCTAGGCAGAAGCGTCCATCCTTAGCACTGGGCCTATTCAATGAGTTCCCGTGCCTGGCGGAGACGTCTGGAGATACTTCTCCATTTCTGAGAGTGTTGTCTTGCAACTCACGTCTCCATTTCCCTCCTAGCTTTATGCGCGGTCACTCCTAGAGGTGGCTCAGGACCAACGAGCTTGCTGGCTGATCCTGTCTTCGCCATAGTGTCCGCCGTCTCATTGCCCCTTATCCCAGCCTGCCCCGGTACCCATATTAACGATACCGGATGCCTCGCTGCGAGGCAGTCCAGAGCCTCGCTGTCGGATAAGATTGTTATTCTTCTCCTAGGCCCATCCTCCTCCAGAATGCGAGATACGCAAGCCAGATTCGCAAAGATTTCCGCCTGAAAAATAGTGGTGTATCCACCGAGAGGCAGAGCTAGCGTAGTTCTAGGCCCAGAGACCCCAGCACTTGCACCCTCTTCGGTGACCGAGCCGTCCGTGTACCGGACCTGCCCGCTCACTACGGAATGTCTCCGGCTACCGGCGTTCGACTCCTCCCTCGTTGGATACTCCACAATAAACTTGCGGTTGAAGCGATATTTAGGGGTAATACGACCACCCCTGCTTAGAAGGACGGGGTCCTCCCTTTGTAATTCGACTAAGATGGCAGTACGCCCCTTGATAGGATTCAAGAAAGCCCAGCTGCCCTGACTCCACAGTCGATGAGCGACTACTCTCGCTTCACCGCGGATCACCAGATCCGACGATGGGAGATCCAACAGAGCTTCCATTGCACTCAATCGCGTTCTTTGGTCCAGAAGGTTGCCTTGCCCTTACCTTGGACTTTGCGTAACGGGCAGTTTCCTCCATGGACGTTATTCGCCCTATCTTCCCTGGTCGCCTTATTTCCAGGTTTGGCGTTGTTCATTGGCCTTCTCGGTCTCCAGATTTATCCATATGCGATTTTTTCTTACGGGGACAACTCAAGGCTAGAGCATACGCGAACAAGCGCCGAACTCTGGACGAATTGAAGGGCGAAATTCGCGTGGAAGTCGCCCAAGTTGAGGGAGCGATGTTCAAGAGAGTCTACGCGAACTTCCAAGAACGCCACCAGCACTGCATCAACGATTTCGGCCACCGCATGCCTGACGTGATTTTCCAGGTCGCCTAGCCGTGGGGATGCAGTGGTCGGCATGAATATCACGGCAGCAATTGATGATTTGGGCATGTCTGGTAAGAACGTATGAAGTGAAACTCGCTAACTTGACAAATTTGAAGATTTTGTACAATTTCTTTGAAAAGGATGAAAGATATGTCTGATCTGTCTAGGTAATGTCGCAGCCAAATGGCAGTCGGTCTTTCTGGACACTGGCCAAGCAGATTGAAAAGAACTTCTCGCACAGTAGCCTTCCACGACTTGCGTGTCAGGATGGAACGATCGTAACAGACTCGAAGGCCAAGGCGAAAGTGCTTGCCAAGATCTTTGCTACCAGTTCCTCCATGGACGCTCCCCAATAAAGCTTCTGGTCCGGACTTGATTCCTGCTATTGTAGATATCTTATGAATCCAGAAAAATGTAAATTTGCTGTCCAACCCATCTCAAAAAAAGGATCTAAAACCGACCCTTACAACTACAGGCCTATAGCTCCGCTTTCTGATAGATCTTAGTATTATGTCCACTAGTTCATTCTTTTCGTAAACGTGGGCCACTTTTTCGCACAAAATAATCAGACATACGGAAGTATACGCACTATTAAAAGACTGATACGACCTTACAATAATACCAAAGTTTGCCAAATATAGATAAACGATAAGAGTAGTAACCAAGAAATCCTTAAATCTGTGAAATAACATTCTTATCTTTTTAAAATTCTTAATCTACTATTTCTTTTATATAGATAAGATTTTTGGTATATCAACTCCTTTTGGCGAGTCCTAAAAGCAGTTAAAATAAATGACTCAACTTTGAAAACACCCTGTATAGCGTACAGCAGTTTTCTAACGTTTTCTGTAACAGGTTCTTCCGTCCTTTGACCTTGAATGTCCTTCGGTGTACACGACCTTTCATGGTGTTTTTTTCGGGTAATTTATTAAACGACAAACAAGAACTTTACGTAATTTAGCAGCTTATTATCTTTCATTGCGAGGTAGACGTGTTGTTTTCTTGGATGATAAATAATATTTAAATCAAGTTGAAGCGACGCGGTAGAATTTTGGCAAATATTCCGGGCAATAAAATATTCCCCGGCATATTT